ATATAATTTTTTTTGAGAATGAATGCTGAGTCAGCATTCACAGAAAAATTAAGTGAACCAGTATCATTTGTTCAGTTTTCCTAAAGTCACAGTGACGTCTTTAACTTCCTGTGAAATGCTGCCATCTTGTGCAGGATTGCTCACCAGCGTCCAGGGTTTCATAACCCCTCTGCATGATGGTTCTGTCTATGCGGGACACCAGCCATGTTCCAACCACCAGGCTGAACAGCAGCCTGAGTGCGCAGGTGCTGAAGCCCATCACAACGTTGTAGAAAAAGAAGAAATAATTGAAGCAGTGGAACGCTTTTCTGCAAAGAAAAAATAAGTCATTTAAAAGGGCCGACTGTACCTTAAAATCACATTTATTTGTTCTGTCAGTCTTTTGTTTTTAACATTAGATGAGTGCATCACTTAAACCAGGGGTGTCCAAAGTGAGGCCCGGGGTCCATTTGTGGCCCCTGAACTGATTTTGTGTGGCCCCTGACTTCAGTTCAAGAATTAAACTAATTTGTTTACAAAATTCCCCCCCTGGCACAGGTGTTTGATGTCGATGGAGACTTTCTATTTTTTATTAGGACAAAATGATCACAAAGTAAAATCTTCTTCCAATAACAAATATTGGAAACGGTATCAATTATTTGTCTTTAAATAACCAGACTCTTAGCTTTAGTGACTTCTACTGAAAAGCTGAATTCTGCCAATCTGCTTTAAATTAATTTACTAAATTTGTCTGAATACAGCAAGCATTTTCAAAATAAGAGTGACTTAAATCCTGATTTTATTGATCAGAATTGACTAAATTGGGTTATTTTTTTCCCAATTGAGACCTAGAAAATTGCAAAATTTCTTTCAACAGGGGAAATCCTGCAAAGCACTTTAAAACTTCTGGATCTAGATTAATTTATGCATCCATTTCCAGCAATAAATTTGACTACTTTATTTGTTTAATTAAAGTTTTCAATGCTTAGTTTATTGTTGAGCAGGTGAAGTAACAATATTTTTGGCCCTCAAGTCTTTCTGACTTTATGATTTTGGCCCATGTGACAAAATGTTTGGACACCCCTGACTTAAACTGATGTTTATAATTCAGAGTATATTAATAAAAGATTATATCCTGATCAAAATGACATTGATGGTTATAGATATGGTGACATGACTTTATTACACAATATAATCTGTGGGTTTCTTACTTCTTCTTCCAGCTGAGCTGCTGAGGAAGTCTGGTTTTATGACTTCATCCATAATAATCATCACGTAAAGTGAACTTAGTCAGTGTTTGAAACCACTTCCTATCTCCACAGTAATGATTTACTGTCAAACCGAGGGCCGTGATTTTACTGTTGATTTGTTCTGAAATGTACCGACCTGTTGTTGAGAGCCAGAGGTTTCTGCTTCTCTGTGGGCGACATTTTGTCCTGAAGGAAGAAGACCTGAACCAGAACCACCTGAAGAATCACCAAGCCGATCACCAGACTGATGGTCAGACTGAGAGACGCAGAGAATTAAAAATGAGGGTTAGCTCCATCTAACCACCCATTTTGCTGCCATCAAAGAGCCTCTGTCACAGGGGAGGCAGTCTTACAGAATGATGCCCAGGCTTCTCAGCATGATCAGTGTTTGTCCATGCTTTACAGGAAGAATAAAGATGTAGACCAACATCAGTGCAACCAAGAAGTGGACAAAATGGACGATAAAGTAGCCTAAATAAAAAGAAGGAACATTTTAAAAATAATAATGATTAAAAAACAAAACTTCAGGTTTTATTTGATTTTTATATTAAAATCCAAACCATTTTGTCACTCAGAATAAAGTTGAGGAGGTTAAAAAACTCACCCCACAAAGTAAACGCTATTTGCCATCCAGAGTATCTTGCAATGGAAGCCTGTAAAAGTTTTTCTTTTTCAATTCAATTCTAAAAATTTATTCATTTCATTAAAAACAAAATAACTGTATGCTATATAAATG